GGCGCTGGTAACACGGCAGCCCCATCACTCCACCATCTCTCCCCTTTGCATGTCCACATGTGCATGAAGTGTGCATTTCAGCCTGTGTGTGTGTGTGTATATAAAAAAAAAGAGTGAAAAAAAAACAATTTCCCCCTAGGGGATCAATAAAGTATATCTTCTTCTTCTTCTTCTAATCTGACCCAGTGGCAGGCATTAAAAATAACAACATAGAAATAGTCAATCTTCTCACGGGTGGTCTTATTTGTTTGAGTAGGTCATATAGAGGCATCAGTATTAAATTTTATACTGTTTCATAATCAAATAAAAAACTCCTTGTAGTAGTAACAGTAGACAGTGTAGAAATCCTCTGTTCCAAGTGAAAGTCTTGCATTATTTTACTCAAGTAGTTATTAGCATCAAAATATACTAAAAGCGAAATATCTCATCATGCAGATTCCCATTTTATAAGAATATATATATTGTATTATTGGCTTATATTCATGCTTTATGCATTGTAAAGGGCATCACTTTAATGTTGCAGCTGGTAAAGGCTAATTTTAACTTTTGTAAATACTGCTGAGTAGCTTCATATTTATTTGTTGATTATGTGTTGTATCAATAATCTTAATGTGCAAAGTAATGAGCTAAACATGTAAAATATATGTAGTGGTTAATATACTTTACTTCCCACTACTGCAAAATGAGATATACTGTGTAAATTAATGAGCTTTAGAAGTGCTGATAGGAAGATATTTTGGTCTTTTCCCCTCTGTTTCGAGTCTTTGTGCTAAGCTAAGCTACCCTTTAGCTGTAGCTTCAGCTTCGTAGCCTTGCTCAAAGGTGGAACTTTTCCCACCCAAATTCCTGCCAGACATATTCACTATAAGATAATCTGAATAAAATCAGCTAGGGTCAGGTGATAGCGTTGTGTGCCCTTGTCAAATGGACAGAGAAGATAAGATAGAATCAATCTTGTTCAATAATTGATGAACTCTCTTGTCCAGTCCTATGAGGACCTTGTCCATCGTCTGGAGCCAGTGATCATGGAGCTGGAGAGGCAGGAAAATGTTCTGGTTGTCTGCCACCAAGCCATAATGCGCTGCCTGCTGGCCTACTTTCTAGACAAACCTGCAGGTACAGAAATCCTACTGCACAGTAGTAGCACACTTCTTCTCTACTTGTCACAGTACTATATGATGTTGTTTCAATATCACAGAGACTCCCAGTAACCTTATTTTCCTCCCTCTGAAGATGAGCTGCCTTATCTAAGATGCCCCCTTCACACAGTGCTCAAACTCACACCAGTAGCCTATGGTAAGTAGTAAGTGTTCGAGTGCACGACATTTAATCTCTTAATCTAAACATTTCCGTGACAGTCTGACTTTCTCCTTGATTGTAGGGTGTAAGGTTGAGCCATTTTTCCTCAATATTGAAGCAGTCAACACACACAGAGAGAGGCCAGTGGTAAGTTTCCACAAGCACACATTTCTCATAATAGATACTTACCTTTGCCAACTATTGGAACTGTGGTGCATTACATACGTCTGATGGAAGGCAGTAATGATGTGTAATTTGTTGAAATGAATATGTAAGAATGTGAAAATACAGTATGTGACTAAACTTCCTACAGTCATATTTTTCTTATTTTAGAGGGATTAGAAACAAAAAATAAAAGTAAAAAATCACCAAATTCTTAAGCTTTGAAGCGAGACCTTAGAAAAAAAGTAAAACAATCTTCCTCTTACCAATGAAAAGTTAAATCCATAACTAATAAGGTGCACCCTTGCTCAGTTCCACATGCTCAGAATGTTTTGCTGCTGCAGCCTCACTTGTTCTGGTACGACCAGCAGCTTATCGTGGCTAGTGTTAGTAAGTCAATTATTTTTTTATGATATTATCTCAAGTTAATTTATTTTGTTATCTTGACCAAATAAGCTTTGTTATAACAAGATAACTAAATAATCCACCCAATAGAGGTTTCAGATTCATGAGAAAACAATTGTGTCTTCTTATTACTTATAATGTTTCTCAGGATTGCAATGTCAGCATGCAAAGATAGCATTGGTTCAACATAATGGACAATGGATGGAGAAATGACATGCAATGTGCCAGTTCATTATTAATGTTAATTATATTAGAGCTAATTTAGTAAATCTCAATCTTCTCCTCTATTTTGTCAGAAAATAATAAAATTAATACCTAAATTAACTGTCAGATGTACATTGTAGCTCTCAGTTATGAATCATACCTGACAGTCAGTAATCTTGAATTCTGAAATCAGGTGTGACCAAATCATTTTGACTTCTCCATAATGATCCTGTGATCTCAAGTAAATTGAATTTATCCCATTATCTTGAGAAGTTAGTTTGCTACAGATAATACAGTTAACCACTTTATGCTAGCAGGAAATTACGCAGTAAGCAAGCTAAACTTATGTAGACAATCTCTTTAGCTGTTTCACCGCCACCTATAATTATACTTTTGTAGCTTCTCCATTTGTTTTCCTTCAAAGGCACACTCAAAAACTGGATTTAGCATGCATGGTGAACACATTATATAATAAAAAAACATCTGAGAATGAGTATGTGGAATGGATTTGGGACACGCAGACAGTCTCGCTCTAAACGGACTCTCAGTATTTGTCTTTCTGTCGTTGCAGAATGTGGACATCAACAGAAACCCAGAGGAAGCTCTGCAGACAGTCCCTGACCACATATAAATGCTGTTTTTGTGAGAAAAGGACTACTATCATCTCAAAACTGGATGTGTTGCTACTTATTAACTTCACCTAATATTAGAGATGCACTCCAGTTAAAGGTTGATTGTGTGAAGACAGAAGACGTGGGGGGCTTTGAGGCGGAAGAAGATGAGACGGTAGAAGTGGGGCTAAGTTAGCCAGCCTGTATATTACATAAAAAACATCACTACATAAGCACACAACCTCCCCCTGCAGTAACTAAAAGCTGCAGCTGTTTTCAACATGTCTGTGAAATTCCTGTGTCTTACCTGAGTAGAGTTTGCTTTTCTCGAAATTTTTAAAGTGTCACATTGTTTACAAGTTATTCAAAGAAAAAAAGAAAGAAATGCACTATGTCTTGAGGCTGAGAGGAAAACACATAAAAACATGTAGGGAGGTTGTTGTTGTGACCTGGGCCTAAAGTGCACATGTAACTGTTGTACAGATGACATAAAGTGTTGTTGATAATCTAATTATAGAGGTGTGGATCAGCACCATGGACAGCACCCAAACAAACAAAGCATTGTGTTGTAGATTTGGACCCCTGGCTGTAACGTTTCTAATGTAGATAAGACGCACACATTTAGCCAGGTTTAAATGAAATAATGTAAATAAAGTAAAGCCTTACATGTCATTGTGCAGAAAATAAACTCAGAAGTCAGAAGACATACTGGTGATTGCTTGTCATGTTGTTTACTCTCCCACAGAGAAGCTAAATATTAATAAAAAAAATCCCTCAACAGACCAACTTACTGTTCCCTCTCAGACTATAATGGGGCTTTGTGAAAGAGCACTCAGGGGAAATGCAAACTCACATTTGGGAGTAATTTTAGGAATAAAAGTCACACTGGAGAAGAGAGGATAGGAATGGAGAGAGAGAGGAGGAGGAGGAGGAGGAGGTGTTTTGGTAGGTGTGTGTGTGGGGGGGGGTTTCCCTAAATAGCCGAGCAGGGGTTAATAATCCCTCATTTCTCGTGCACCTCGGTGGCAGCAGTCCGCGAGATTTCCAGTATGCATGAACACAAGCTGGGAGCTGCTTTCTTCAAACACAGCGGGACTCACGCAACTGTCTGACTGAACTTCACGCTCTTCTCACCTGACGGATGTTTAACTCTTATCAGAACATACATTTATATATTAATATATATACACCGGTATATGTCATTATCACTGCAGTGGAGCCGTTTAAAACTCAGCTGAGGTGAGGGAGGGGAAAGACTGCCCCTTGCAAAGAAATAACTTGTGTAAAATGTGAGGTATGTGCACAGCGTCCTCCTGTACGACCTCAGTCCCGCCGACAACGTGAGACCACTGGGGCAATTCACTTCATCTTGGAGCCTAAAACCTGAATGATCATGGACATGATGAACTTAAAGGTTCAGTGGGTTCTAGTTTTCTTCACTCTCTGTGTGCACGAAGGATTGTCGAGGGATTATGAAGCAAACCTTGGAGCAAATTTTCTTTTACAGGTATATTTTCCGTTTACCCTTTTTTTCAGTTTTGTTTCAGAAGTCATTGGAGGCTAAAATTCATGCTACCTTCTGAAACACACCCCTCTGTTAAACCAAGCAAGGCAAAATCTTTGTGTACTAACAAATACAGAAGTTTTTGTTTAATTTAAATGAGAAAAAAGGAATAGTCACAAATATTTAGTAGAACTATCAGTCTGCAAAATGCTGTTAGTGACATACCTTAAATATTTTAAAGTCCAAGTGAACCTTTGCAGCTCTAATACAACCAATACAGTAGCTCATTTAGGCAAAACACATCATATAGTCCTGTTTTTTTACATAGATTATATGATTTGTATGTTTCCCTATAAAGGGTTTCCACTCTTAAAAGTTATTTGTTTATGTTAAACCCCCAGGATATGTGGTAATGTATTGACACAGCTATGACTTGTGTGTGCAAAATTAACATTTGAGAGCAAACCGTGCAAACCCTCACTGGCCCTGTGTACAGTGAAAGCATTTATTTCCAGTTCCACTTCCCCTCCATTCATGAATGGCTTTGATTCACACTATTTTGACACAAAATCTTTGACCCAACCCTCACATGGGCAGATTGTGGAGATTACTTCAAAAAGGAGGCATTTTGAAAACACTGTGATACTAATAATTGGTATTAGGCCCCATATCATAACATCGTACCTTCAGCCTCCATCTTACAAGCACTTATCGGACATATCACAAAACTGCTCGTGCACTTGATTGACTTGCTGCCTTGTTTCTTTTCCAGAGAGTAAAACATCAAAGCAAACCATCGAAGCCAGTGGTAAGTTGTGTTAATTGTTAGTGTGAGACTGGAGCTCCTAATGCTCAATTTCTTAACTCCTGTTAAACTCCTGTTTCTTTACTGTATCTATGAATTCCTTTTGCATGTGGTAGTAGAAATACGGAATGAGCTATACAAAAGAAATAAATAACAGCTGTGTACTTCCTCGTCTTGCGAACTTTGTTATACAAAGTGAACTACAGAACAAGCTCCACAGACAGAAGTACAACCATCAACAAATCTCAGGGTGTCATCAGTAGCTCCACTGTGGTTTCCTCTCCGTTTGCTTTAGTGTTAACTGTGAAGCAATCTCCTGAAAACATACAGTAATTCAGTTTGTATAGCACAAACCGCAGCTCTCCTAAATACCTGTGAGCTGGAGGGCTGATGTGGCTCTCTTGCTCCTGCCTGTCGCCTCATCCTGCAGTTATGTGGCCTATACTGACCAGATTGGTCTCAGCAGGCGCCGACGTTGGCCGAGTAAACAAGAGGAGGACAGAGACACCATGCAGGGAACCGCTTTGTGTTGTTTCGTTGACTCGTCAGAGCGATGCAGGGCAGACCGTGATATGGGAGGAACACAGAAAAAGTTGTGTGTGAGGTTTAGGAGGGGAGGGCAGTGGGTTTAAGTAAGCATCCATGGCTGTCTGTTATAGTCAGACTTGATTGGCGGTGTCACATCAGTGTATGAATGTGACATTAACCTCCTCTTATGATCTGTTGGGATGATTCCAGTCCACCAATTGTATTTGGTAGATCACAATAACGTGTCTTAATCTTCCAATGTGCTAACAATCTCCTTTGAAACTTCAACTTCAGTTCTTTCTCCTTCAACCTCTTGATTTATATCTGTATTTGTGCTGTCACTAGCTGAAGGTGACGGACTACCACGTGAGGTGTTCAGTGGTGTCCCGCTATGCTGTTACCACAGTCCAGAGTTCAGTATGGAACCAGCTGCCCATCACCAAGGAGGCCGCCTTTGAGGTGGACCTGCCCTCCTCTGCCTTCATCTCTAACTTCACCATGTAAGTCAGTCCTCAATTGTCTTTCACTGGCTCTATATTATCTGCAGTATACAGCGTTTTCACTACTTATTGCATTTGTTTATTAGTATATCTGAGTGTCTGCAATTTCCTTTACTTCTAATCTCTAATATCACTATGAAAGTCAGGAAATTAAACCAATCATCTTCAACAAGTGGGGGCTTTTTTGAAATTACACTCACTGAGTCGAAAGTATTGAAACATATTATTTGTTGCCTGGAAAAATAATATTTCCCTGGTATATGGCGAGAAATTGAAATAAATAAAAGTAATGTTCTCACTCATGGGCAGAATCCAGAAATAAAACTTTGGAAGGAATTATGTAAGGAGCTCAAATTCCAGGACGGAGGAGAATAATAATAATTTCATTACTAAGAGGGTTGCTGACCACTCTCCTTCAAAAATGCTAAATATAATCAAAACAAATAAGTCAACATTGCAGGCCAAACACCAACCCTGGAGCTGGATTTGGAAGCGGAAGCAGGTCAGGAGGAGGGGGAACCTGAGGGCAGATGAATACCAGGCTTTGTAAATGGAAGTCAGAAAGTTAATAGAGAAAATGACAGGAGTTTGCCCAGTCCCCCTTTTCTCCCCCGCACAGTTTACTGAGGCAGCCTGCCAGTTTAGATACGCTACGTACACACACGCCTACATCTACTGTATGTATGCGTGCTTACATGGAGGTGGATGTAGACTTAGATTTTTTAAGTATGTGTGAGTCTGGAACTTTTTTTACAATCGCTATCCTTCACGTTGCTTTTACACTTCTGTCTCTCACAGACACGCACTCATACGTATTTTCACACGCATGCTCAGGACCTATACGGCCGTCTGCAGAGCACCAAATACCCAGAGGAAAAAAAGCTGTGGCAAATGTGTTGCGTTACTTCTTTGGCATTTCTATGTCTGAAACTAAGAACTCTGTGTTCTGTGTGCAGGTCACTGATGTACAGCCATTCCTGAACCCCCTCAGCCAACCACACATATAAATACAAGTGCCTCCATTTTCCACTCTGCTCTCTCATGCCATTCTGCTCTGTTTCTCAAACAAGACCCGCTTCAAGCCTGTGGGTTTATTTTAGTTAGCCCTTGATGTTTTTTCTCTTTGGATATATTTGTTCAAAGGACTTGACCTTAATTTAGCACCTTGTCACGTGACATCAGTGGTCACCAAAGTCTAGGAAGTGCACTGTGTGAATTGGATCCCACTTTTGACCAGTGGTTTTGGTTGGGATTTTGGTGGTTGTAGCACATGGCGGCACTCCCTCGGAGCGTCATCAGCCTGCAAGATCTCTCTTCATTAATGCTGTTTTTAGAGGGAAATTACTCTTTTCCACTCACACTGTTTACGAACCCACCTCCTCTTCACATGGTATGAACTCCATGCGTAAACAAGCATGATGCATGTTTGTGAAGCAGCTTTGTGATCGCTCTGGAAATACAAGGAGCACAATCAAGTAAATCATACGCAGCAACTTAATGTGGGGAAGGCGTGTTTCTGAAATATAATCTGGCTACTGTAAGTCACACAGAGAGCTATTTCTTCTTCTTTTCTCTATCCCATCAGCACCTCCAATGGCAAGGTGTATGTGGCCCAGGTGAAGGAAAGAGCTGCTGCCAGGAAAATTTACGATGCTGCTAAGAAGCAAGGAAAAACAGCGGGACTTGTTGCTACAAAGTCAGTCCCAGGCAAAAAGTTTTCTTCCATTATATAAAATGTAATGTGATTTCCTAACGAATCTGTTTCATTTGCAATGTCATGCTGCATGTTTTCAAGCACAGTTTTCAAGAGGAGATGAAATCCAATCCATTATTGTGAGTTTTTCTTTCTCTTTTGCTCTGCGGCGTTTTAGAGAGAGAGAGATTGAGAAGTTCCGTGTTGCAGTGAGTGTGCCGTCAGGAGCTCGGATGTTCTTCTCCCTATCCTACGAGGAGCTGTTACCTCGTCGACTTGGCCGCTATGAGCTCAGTCTGGGTCTGAGGCCGGGACAGCCTGTTCAGAACCTCACCTTAGATGTCAGTATAACGGAGCGGACGGGCATTAGTTTAATTAAAGTCCTTCCTCTCAAGACAAGCCGACTGCTGTCCAACACGGCTCAAGGTAAAATCTGACAGTTATTACCTGTCAGGATATATTTGAGATGGTTATTTAGGTAAAAAAATAAGCATTGAATGCTCTTACGCTGTAAGAAAAAAAAGTAGAAAAAGTAGAAAAAGAAAAAGTACAGTTGCACGACATCATACCCATCATCAGGTGTATAGAGCCATAAGTGTAAAAACTTTAATGAAGACTTGTTTGAATAAATGACTGCAGAATTAATCATAATTAGTCCACTGACATTTTGGGAAATAAGTGCATG